TTTTTTCTTCTATCTTTTGCATCTCTTTTGAGTGCCTAGACTTATAGAGGACTGCTTTTCAGGGCCCGCTGTCTCTCTTTAATCTGTCGATGTTCAGTTCAAGTGTAAGTTCAACTATTTAGATGATTAGTGTTGTTACAGGTTTATACTGTGAGCAAACACTCCGCTAACTACAACAACCATTGAGACTTAGTTGTTTTAGAAGACACAAGCTATCACGTTTTCTAAAAACTACACACCTCACATAAGTCAAAGTCCAATATTCAAGGAAACAAAAATGAAAATATAAAGTTTTGTTGCATAGTCATGCGCATTATTTTCAACTTCAACAAACATGAGATAAGGGCTTAAACACATAGATTAAAAAAAAATACATAAATCATAGAAATTCTGACATTTCATGCGATATATGTTACCAGAATAAAGATCAACACGTGTCAGATAATTTGCATTTGACAAGCTCACACTGGTTTATAGAAATTAGATTAGCGGACATGTAATTAGAGAGTAGCTGGTATAATCATGCACCTTTGTGGATGAGGTGGTAGAGCAGGTTGTGCACTGATTGTAAGACTGACGGTTTGATTTCCTGCCTGTTCACATACCAAAGCAAGACACTGAACCAGAAGTTGCTTCCGACGGCAGACGAGCAGCATGCACGGCAACTCTGCTGGAGCCTTCGTGAGCATGTGTGGGGAGGAAAAACTGTAAATACTTTGAATAACTGGAACTGCAGAGTATTTTCTATTTGGCATAATGCTGGAGGATACTCACTGATACTAAAATGATGCCCAAGCATAGGGGTTGCATGTCATTGTGGGCGTCTGCAGCTAATTTAGCGACAAACCTAAAGGTTGAATCGACGCTACAGAAAAAACATACGCAGAACATCAGTGGTTGAATGTAATAAATGACAAGTTTATTGTTGCACAAAATATACAAAATAACAAGCAAATGGACAGCCCCTGCCCCTCCCCCCTCCCTCCGGTTCATTCGCCATAATGAAGCTGAGTTTCTGAAACCTATGACTACGGCAAGTCCGATGGTCCAAGCCAAACGCATGGTAATTCTGAGAGACAACACATACCCAATTTCAGCGTCACTGAACAATTAAAAATGAATAAAAACACCTTATTTACACATTTCTGTCAGAACTTTTACAACATGCCATCTATGTATTTATACAGAATATGCTTGTGCACATACCCCTGTATAGAAAATATATTATAAGATCAAATTAAATTAGACTAAGGGCTATAGACATCCAAAGTACAGCACTTCTTTTTAATCTCCTTTTTTTTAAATTTTCATTTTTATTTCCCCACTTATTGAATGACTTCATCAACCTCGTACTAAAAGAAAGAACTCTAGCTGTATGCAGGTGTTGATGGTGGTTGTGTTTTTTCCTTGAGGACCCACGCCGACCATGTAGATGCCTGTTGAGAAAAGCTTCGCGTATTTACAACGAGACACTCGGATCTTTCCCAAGATGCACGCGCGTGTGTGTAAATCACTTGTGCGTCGTTCCATGTCGTCCTGGCTGAAATACACGTCCCTAAAAAGATGATCGGTGGTGTATCGCCGGACGACAAGACTCCCTCAAACCCTCCCCCCCGCCCGAGCCTGGCTTGATGATGTAACAAGAGCGTAAACCAATCAGCTTTGGCACTGGGTGTAGAAGTAAAGTGTGCTGTGGTTTCCTAGAATGCCTTTCTTGGATCTTACATTTCACGTGAATTTGTCCCTGTTTTTGACACTAATGTTAAAGCACAGAACAGCTGAGAGCACATTCTCAGAATTTACGATTTAACATCCTAGTGCAAAAAATAAGGAAGACAAAATGCCTTTTTTTTTTTGTCCCATGTCTTGCATTGCCGAATGATATTTAACAAGCTAGTAGTGTGATCTCTAAACCACATTAGCACCATGGAGAAAAAAGACAGACAGAGTGAAGAACATTGTTCAAGTAAAGCCAGAAAACTCACAAGATGTTTTGTGCTGGAAACATATACAGCGTCAGGGCACGCTACATGGGTGGATCTGTATTCTTTTTGTGTGCCAAGGAAAAACCACATCTCCAGTGGACGGATGGATGGATGGATGATGAGTGGGAAGATGGACAATGAGGAAGAAGCCAAAATGAGGCCACCTCATCCTCCAGCTGCACCGATGTAGAAAAGAAGTGACACGGGCGGAAGCAAATCTCCGGAGTGAATCCATCACATTGCTTCATGATTCACCTGCAGATGGAGATCGGTGCAGCTGAAGGAGATGAAGAAGGTCACGCCGCTGTTTCTGCAACTTTAAAAGCTAAAAACCCCTCCAGTTGAACTGAATGTGAATGCGAGGGGAGGCGGGGGGGGGGATGCGGGAAAGTCTCAGGGAACCAGTTTGGGATCAGATTTCAGGGGAAAGGAGATGGCATTGTTTTCAAAGTGTGTGCAAAAATACTTGTCAGACTACTGCTGGAACATGAACCCTTTTTTTCTTTTTTTTTTTCGTACACTTTCAGTTTGCGTCGGTTCTGACCTTAAATTTTTCCGATATAGCTTCCTCTTTAGTCCTACCTATTCTTCAGCTTGTGTTTCACTTCTTTTAATATATATCTATATCTTCTTTTCTGGCTTTTTTTTTTTTTCTCTTTTCTTACTTTACAAAATGAGAGACAGAATGATGGACAGCTGACAATATATATAATTATTTTTCCTCTTCTTATTATCATCAGGTTTCTCTTAACCTGGAGATGAATTTCTTTGTTCGTTGTAAACAAACAGGTTTATCAGCCACTGGCGTTTGTTTCCTCGTCGATCTTTTTTCCTCCTTCCTTTCTCCCCCTTTCCCCCGTCGCTCTCCTCTTTCTCTCATTGCAGGAGGGCCCTGATTTGTTTGGAGGTGCTGTCATCATTTAGATGCCGTGTTGTATACCTGAGGATGTGATTGAAAAAGAAAGGTGTGTTGAAATCTCTCACAAATTGTTTTCCTGCATATCTAGGACTACTTTTTTTTCTCCATATTCATACACACCTCAGTGCATTCAGAAGTCCCTCCACGCTGTTGGACGGTTGCTCTTTCAGCACCTTGATGCAGCCCTTCATCTGCTCGCCACAAAGACAACACAGGGAGTTGGAGAAAGGTCAGTGTCCTCAGATCAACCTCATCTCCTGCTGCTGCTGCTGCAGTCAAACACTGACTCAGATGCTCATGTTTATAAAGGTAACATTTACCGGTGTTGAATATGGATCATAGATCACAGATTTTTGTTCGTACGTATGTAATCATAACTGTTCTATGTTGGAGTATTTACTGGTGCTGGATTATGTACAATATTATTATATGTATACAATATAAAGATTTGCTTTTTTAAACACTGTTCTGGTTAATGCCAATGCCCCGAACCTGAAACAGAATTTTATGACCATACAAATACTCCAGACAGACAAACATTTTGATGGACTAGAAGCACCCGTGGCCAGTTTTTACTGCAGGTTTTATTGACTATAAATCAGAATCCTCTCACACCACACTGTGATAATCAGAAAGACATCAAACACTGATGACTTTTGACTGACTTCGCTGTAGAAAAACACTCATATTGGGCATAAAGTTAACCTTGACAAGCCTCCTTTGTATTTGATATCCATTTAATAAAAGAAAGTAAGATTTCAAATGTTTGGACAACAACCAAACAAATATTTACTGTACTCACATCAATTTTGGAGGTCTTGGCGAACGCCCCGACAGGGTGAACGTGGTCATACAGGATGATGACTCCCACCATCACCCTCATGCAGAACAGCATGGTGTCTGTGTTGGTGAACCGACAGCGGTACTCCCTGCGACAGAGACACGTGGTTAAATTCAGGCCTGAACAAGTCACTGATGACATTTTATTCACCACTCAAAAAGATTAAATATCCTAAACTTAGCATGAAGGACTCTATGAATCAGTGTGGCTTGGTCTATTCGTTTCTCTCATTTGAAAAAGGCCTCTTTTGTGTTCACTTTGACAAGCCCTGTTAATTCAAATGTAGGCTTCTGACCTTCAGTGGGAAAAAAACAAGAAGAGAAGGAGATGGATTGAGGAAGGGGTGGAAGGAAAAAGTGTTGAAAAGCACTCACGGAGTCTCCAGCATGACACGACACACACAGGCCATGGTGCTCAGGCAGTCTGTGGTGTCCTCTATGGGCAAGGTCTTATTCTGGTCAAAGACAAAGGAGGAATCAGAGAGCATTAATTCCATGTATAATGCTCACAAATCTAACCATTGTTGCATTTCATCCACTGACTGGACACACTGTTCCACCACAAGGTGGCGACAAAGTACATCGGCAGAGTTCAGTCCAAGTACGAGGAGCTACTTGGCTGAAAAGCAATCATCACCAGCATGTCCTCTACATTTTGCATGAGTCTCAAAAGTATTTTTCAGGATGCGCTGAGGTGTAAAGTTAGCAAAAAAAAAAGACTGCTGCCTCCACGCTAACTGTGTTTTGACAGCAAAGGGAAGGAGAAGTGGAGAGTTTTCACGCAACATTGGGGCAACGGCTCAAGTGTACCACAACAGATCCAAACTAAACACCAGGATGAATTTTACACCAACACAGCAATAAACATCTGTATGTATTTAAAATTTAATACCACTAAATTGCAAAAGTTATAGAGTGGTTGTATTTTATTTAACTTGACTCTGTTTTTTTTCGCCTCCATTTTCTGTGCTCTGTAGTTAAGAGGCTCTGCTTTGTGTGGTTAAAACTGACACTGAACACATAAAGGCACCAAAGGCTGATCAGTAGAGGTATGTTGGTATTGATCAGGCCGTGATTAATGGTTACGGAGATTGTGTTTTCTTGGAGGAGGAATGTTTGATCTGGTCATTCTGCACAGTCGAGTAATCACTCAATAGGCTTTGACGTGTGATCAATCATTAGCCTTAGGCAGCGGTGGAACGTAACTGAGTCCATTTAATCACTTATTGTGCTCAAGAGCAAATTTGAGGAGCTTGTTCTTTCCATTTTGTGCTGCTTTATACTTCTATTCCATTATATTTCAGGGGAAAATGTATTTTTTTTACTCCGCTTCATTTGTCTGACATGTCAATTGTATTTTAGTTGCTTTACAGATTAAAGCCTCTGATCAGTGATTAACCCTCCAAAAAAAGAGTCTCTGAGCTCACTCACAAGTCTGCCTAAACACAACAAACTTATTCTATGCTACACAATGTTGAGTGGTAGTAACGGAGTAGTTTAGCCACATGTGATTAAACTGGAACTGAAGAAGAAACATGAGGCCCACCCTGCAAGTAGAAGGGATTGCTTCCTCAGGCTCATTACATATGAAACCCCGAATGCATGTTTGTCGAGGCTGTCGTCACAACTCTACAGTTCAGAGGTGGAAATGACTGCTTAATTTTGCTCATAATGTGTCTTCTAGCATATAAAACAAACACCATATGGACGCGCTAACAAGATAAAAGATAAACTTGATTTCCACCAGAGGAGGAGGTTTTTATGATTTAATATCCAAATCAAAAATTATCTTATTAAATATGAATCTCTGTTACAGGTTAAACTGCTTCAAATTACCTCCATCTTAAACAAATGCAGCTGTAAAATCTCACCTACACATGAATGCATTAGTAATAATAATAATCCATGACTGTAAAACTGAGTAACAATAAAAGGAAGCATTTCAGTGCTCATAATATTTTTAGTGGAAGGCTTTTACGTGTTTGGAAGTACTGGAGTACTGGAGCTAGTTTACTGACAATCTGAATACTTCCTACGTCCCTGACTTGTCATCTTAAAGGAAATACTCCCAAGATGTGTTTTTTTTGGCTGCCCTGTAAGTCAGTTTACTTTTACTTGATGCTTTCCCTCAATGACAGTAATTAAAACCAGAAGCTCAGTAGCTAAGCCTCGACAGAGTGGATGTACACATGCACGGATGTGACCGTTTGAAGAACGTACCTCTGAAACGAACTTGGTGGTGGCGTTACTCAGAGTCTTCAGCATCGGTGTTGCTTCGGCGTAGAACAGAGACATCCGATTGGCCATCTCATTGTTCACCTCATTCTCTGCTTCCAGCTGCATGCCAACAAACAAAACAGATGTCATATTTAAAAAAAAAAACAAAAAACAAAAAAAACATTAATCATCCAATCTGATGATGGTGAAGTGGTAAAATGAGAGCGTAATCAGAAATTCAATCGTGGCTCTAATTTGTGTAACTCGAATGTCAAATGAAATATTGATTGTACATCTCTTTGTGTTGTTAGGAGGAAAGGAACACCTCCACTTCAGTCATTAATGATTAAAGAGAGAAAGTGAGGCGAAAGCTGCTTCGACTCAACGCTTGATCACGTATGCAACACAAACGCTGCGTCTCCAAGGTCTCACCTGCTGGTTGTTCAGCCTGTTCCTGCTTATAGTCCTCCTGTAGTAGCTGAAGTCATTCTGAATGGCTGGATTTGTCATCTGCACAGCAAGAGAGGAGGTTAAGCGTGTTTTCACCTTTCAATGACTAGATTGATTTTTCGGTACAGTGAAGGTCAGCGTCTGAGGGCTGTAATTAGAACAAAACAAAAAAAAGAAGAGGAATTTCACCTTTAGTTCATCAAAGCTGAGCGTGAAGTGAAGGATCTCAGCAAACTGTTTGGCAAGAGCCTGCTCTCTCTCCAGGTGCTGCATGGGAGCGTACGGCGGGCTTGTCAGTGCCTCCAGCAGGCTGCGCAAGGCGTTCTCTGCAAGTATACGTCCATGTCAGACATTTATGTGCTCCAGCTATGATCTGCGTGTCATAACTGTACGGGCGTTTATCTCTCTTTTTGCTCAGGCTGCTGTAATTCTCTCTAATCTGGATCTGAAGACTGTTTCATGTCACCAGCTTGAAAACAAAGCAGCAGGATTTTAACTACTGCAAACAGACAAAGTTGGTTTACTTTGTTGTTTGTTGTCATGTCTTTGCTGGACATCACAAGTTCATTGTTGAACTCTGCCCTTTTTTGCACAACTGAAGTAACAAACCGTTGGGTCCCCTCTGAGCTCAGAGCTTCCTGCAAGTCTCTTTTTGCTAAGATTTAAGTGACTAGAAATTGTAAACTACAGCCCAGCAACAGTATTTTACCTGCACTAAAGGGATCATTCGAAGACTAGTAGTGTCAGTCTACACATACAACTTATCTAAATATGCAGTGCTACTCCCTGACACTGTGTAAAAATCAATGCTGTTCCCTTAATTTACTCCTCAATTATTTATTTTGATTGTCTAAACTGACATGGTTAGCGTGGTAAACATTCTACCTGCTTAATGTTTCATTCAAACTGTCCAACTGCAGATTGTCAGAGCTGCCAGCCTGGTTGCAGACTCTCTTGGCGGTCTTATTTTGACCTTCTTTAAGGTTTTGCTGTTCAGCAGGACACTTCTTACCCTCTAAGACTACAGGCATTAATAATATATTTCATTCTACAACACAAATGAACACACACTGTAAGTGGTGCTCAATAGAGATCACACTGACCATACAGCCTTGCACCCTTGTGGCTCCTGTATCAGTGACCAAACATATCCCCCTGCGTCACACACCGTATTGAAGTAAGCCTTTTTGCTGCCTTGCTGCATGTAACAAATCAGACACCAGAGCCAGACCCCAGAGGCTGTGTGTAGAAATGATGCCTCAGAAGCAAAGCCTCCTGAGGCCCCGTTCCTTCCTCGGCATTAAAAATGCATAAGGGCCTTCTATAAATACAGCGCCGAAGTGTTTCATCTAAAGGGCCTGGGCAGAAACCCCAGTCTCCCTCCTGCTGTTAGCACAGAGCGCACGGTCCCCCATCCTCACTGACTCCTGACGGTTTATAGTGACAGACTGGATATAGAGACGATACACGGAGCCTCTTAATCTCTTACTGCCCCCTTTGATCCAATAAAGAAATAAAACGCAGGTGGTGCTGCGAGCAAAAAGAGGAGGGATGTCGACTGCACTCTCTGAGTCATTAGGACTTGATCCCTTTCTTTCTAACAGGGTGGAAGCAACGCAATGTCTGTTGTCCTGCATCTCACAGATACATTAGCTCTGATAAATAATCATCAATTATTAGTTAGCTGGCCCTCACTGTAAGGTAAGCTGAGAACACAATGTCCCTGAGATCGAAGTATTATTGGAAGGCAGAGCAGAGGCGGCAGCTGAACTCCATTTCTCTGCTCGTACTTCTCTCTCTCTCTCTCTACTCTCTCCATCTCTCTCTGTGCTGGACGACCATGTACCACTGTTTCCGTAGCAACGGCTGCCTGGCTGCTAGGTCAGGATGCTGCAGAGATGGCTGAGAGGACATCATAGTGTATGAGGGAGTGTGTGTGAGTGTGTGTGTGTGTGTGTGTGTGTGGAGGAATGCTCTCGGACTGAATGTAAAACGATGATGATAAGCCTCTTTAACGTTGCTTGACAATTTCATCACCTTCAAATTAATCTTCCTCTATTTAACGGAACGTGCACAATGTGTTCATTGTGCTCTTATTAAAATATCTTTCTTTTGACTGTGTATGTCACAGTCCCCAAGTGTTAACAATACTGTCTGTCACATACTGTGCGTCTCACGTCCTGGAAACGTTGAATAGCTTTCAAGAAGACAATAGCTGGTGTTGAGTTGCAGTACTAATCTGTGAAACCACTACAATGCTGCTACACTTTAATGTGCTGGGAATGCTAAATAAGAAAACAAAGCGGCTTATTTCACACATATCTCTGTCACCAAGTGTGACAAACAGACATGAATGTGTGGGATCCTCCTCTTTCTCTCACTCTCTAGCCCTTCATCACTTTCACCTACCAAGGTGAAGAAAATGCACATGTTGATAAGCACACAGAAAGCCTTGTTTGTTTGGTGTTTGGGTAGCTGACAGCAGTAACGCCTCTGTAGATACGGGCTACAGAGCTGGCAGCTATATTTTAACTCGTGTTGGACCTCCAATATGGCCACCAGAGAGGGAATTGCATCACTCTCTGAAATTTCTTTCAACAGACTCCATGCTCACCCAGTCGGAGAGAGAACTCGTAGAACCTCTTCAGCTTGGCCACCAGGGGGCAGACTGCGTTCCAGGCCTTCTCCTGAAGAGCGAGGTCACCTGGGTTCTGGATGGCCTGCAGGCGAGTAACACAGGCAGATGTTACTTTCCAAAAAATTTATTTTTGAAAGCTTCCCATCTTCTCTGTCCTCACTTCCTTGAAGCGATTTTTGACTTTAGTGGAACATTTTCACTTTCAGTTTGATCGGACCTCCTCCTGCTACAGTGACAAGCAAAAACCTGACACAGTATCACAGATTAAAAACATGATTCAGATAGGATTTACTAATAAAACCTATCAACTAAATTTCTAATACACAACATTAGCATCATTAGATAGAATTCGCCAAACCACATAAGTGGAGGCATAATTTCCTAAAACATAACGTTCCATTTTTCTTTTTCTTTTCTTTTTTTAACAAAGCCAATGAAATGCCTAAAACTGAAGCTGTTGTAGTTGCAATCTCAGTGCTTTCCAACTTCCCTACTCTATTTATGGCATTCCCCAAGCCACTTTGTTCCTACTTAAGATGTACATCTTTAAAAACAGGTCAGAAATATCTGTTTTACAAAAGACTAATTAATGTCTTCAAATAGCCGGGCACTGTAGTTTGCAGCAAATGTGAATCAAATAAGAGTAAGTTGTGCATTTGATGGGGAATTTTTACAGGTGAATTGATGCACATATGGTGTCCTGGTGAAATTAGCGAAACATAAAAACACTCCTGCATGTTGGCAGTGGTAGCAAGGCCCCCACTGCAGCTGAGGCTTGAACATGACTGCAGGTGCATGTGGATAGTGTCCTTAAAACGTACTTTAAGTCCTCAAAGTTAGGAAGAAATGAGAGGAAATGATTCAGCATTTACTGCAGGAGAAGCTTGTTTGCAGTAATGTGTCGCTGAGGAAAAGCTGAATCTCAACGCTGTGCGCCGTAGCTGCTGTTCGTCAAGACCAGCGTATGGGAGGATATTTATGCCTCTAGCACAACATTACCACGAAACACAACATATTGCATGAAATGTTTGTTTGAAAAATGCTTTCACACGTCTCTGTTCCTGCTTATATTTAGTGTGTGCTGCATGATACGCTACATGTCAGAACTACACCCCGGCAGCCCGCGTGATTCACACATGAGTGTTATCTTTCCACGCTGCGCCGCGCGCTCGACACTTTATTGACGTTCAGCACTTATCGACTGCTCGGCGCTCACTTCTCGTATCTCCTGGCCCGCGCCATTATAGGACTGCAGCTCGGCCAGGATCCCATGAGCCTCCTCCAGCACGGCGCTGACCTGGTTCCACACGGCCGTCTCTGCCTCCGTGGGCTGGGCATCTGCGAGGGGAGGGAAGCAAAAAAGGGAAAGAGAGGGAGTGGGAAGTGAAAGTGTGATGTAAGGTGCAGGAAGAGACGAAAATGTCGAGGGGAGGTGGTGGCGGGGAGAGAAAATGAAAGAAAGCAGGGAGAGAAGATTTGAAAGGAGAATGTCGTTAGTGAGGAAGGAAGAGCTGAAGTGAAGATATTCTAGAAGGCCAGATAAAAACCTCAGATTGCTCGCTGCGTGACTGCAATAACAACTAAACATCTCCACGAGTGAAAATTACTGCATTTAATCCGACTTAGTGGACCTGCAGCCATAAATACCGAAGGTCAGAATCTGGCCAGCAAATAAATGATCCAATTTACTCGTAGAATTACAACCAGAGACTTATGAGGCACACTCTGTCACACAATGAGGTTTGATCACAGTGTTTGGTCACTGAGTACAGACAAGGAAAGTCAGTTCCACTTCAGGGAACAATTTGGGAGCGACAACGAATAGTTTAAAATTTTGACGGTTCTCAGGCTCTGTGAAAGCGGCTGGACTTGGATTACGTGTCTGACTCCTGAACTGTAATCGTCGCTCATGTCCATTCAGTAGAGATTTATACAGGCCTGGATAGGTGTAATTGTCCCATCAGTTTGATGTAATAGTCGTATCCATCTTTTTTCTCACTTTCTATTTCCCTCCTTCACTTCTATGAATGGGTTGAGACTTTTTTTTTTTATTTTGCCCTTGAGGTTTAATTGTGAGAAATGGTAAAACAAGCAAGCAGCAGGAGGGACAACCTCTGGGCATGTTCAGTCTTTATCTGTTTCACACGTACGCACTGAGCAGCGCACATACTGTAAACTCGGCGTTTTGCTGCAGGGCACCTCCCAGTTCTAGTTGTGCTTTGTTTGCGTATGTGTCTTGCTGCATGCACACGGGAGGGATTAAGCATTTGAGGGACACAATTTAGGATGTGTCCTCTTGAGTCGTCATTGTATTTAGTTCTCTTGCCTTTGTCTGTGTATAAAGCCAGAGTGGGAGTGTGCCCAGGCAGTCCTCTACATGAGGTAGCACTGCTGATTATTTCTGCACCCTGAGGCACTGCCTCCCTGCAGAGAACTAGTAATCATGGAATATTTGCCATCCTATGTGCACACCGGCTGCCATAATAAGCACAGCAAGAGCCGCTCTTCTGGTGACTGCTCACTAATGTGCTCCTTCATTCTTCTGGTAAACAACAACATATTGTGTTTACTAGGTATTAATTAAATGATCTCTTGGCAAAAAAGGAATAGTTCACTGTCTTGCCAGGACCTGAAAGATCAATCCTTCTAGACATGCACTTCTTTAATCTGAGGATATACAAACATGTCAGCATCATGTCTGAATGAGCGTCAAAACTTGTCAGTTTTACGTAAAAGTCGCAAAAGCAATCTCACTATGTTTGATCTTATTTACATATCTCTTTGAAACTGCATGTAGTCGCATTAAGGGATAAGGACACATATCTGACAGGCAGTGTGGTCCTATAGAACAAGCTGCCCAGGTGAGTTCTGTTGTCTCTGTGGCAGTGTTTTATATCACCATTAACATTATGATCTGCTTTCTAGTGCTGATGATCCTAAACTATCCACTGTTGTTATGGCACTTACAGAGGCTTTGTTATAAGTTTAGTCTGTGGTTTATTCGTAGGTCCTTCAACCTTTTTTGTACTCTCGCAAATGCGCCAAATATTGATCGTCACTGCAGTGGGTTTGTCTGAATGAAGCCAAAAGGTATAATAATGTAAAAGTGACCTCTATCTGAGCGACGGAAGGCCGTCACAGACTGATGAAGCAGAAATGTTATATATCCAATCTGAAAAGGACTTCACTCTGTGTGCTGAATATGAACCTGGAGTCCTAAAACGGTTAGCTTAGCTTAGAATAAAGGCAGGAAGCAGGGGAAATCTGATTCTGATTCTTTTTACATCACCATCTTGTTCACTTATTCAATAGTCACTATAGGATGGACAATAGTGAGCAGTAAATTGAAACATCAGACACTAAACTTGGTCACTTCCATTCATCATTTAATTTAGACACTCCAGTGAAATGGTAACTATAGAGCACGATACTGTAAAAAAAAAGGCATGGCTTGCATTTGGTGCCTTTCTATAGGTATTTTCAAATGGATTAGTGTTTAACATGTTTAAGAAGAGTCCACATAAACACCTTTATTTTGTGCAATTCCCACCGTAATATGTGGAAATTTTCTGAAAGCTTGTGATGTGTTTGCTCATGTTGTCAGAAACGACGGAGGCCATGGAAGTTCATTTTTCACTGTAAGGGAAGCTAATATATTACAATTCTCACTGCAATGAGTTGTTCTTTGTAATTTTATAATGTCTGAGAAAAATATTGATGTTCTCACATCTTTTCATTATGCATTTCCTACATTATGTCCCTAGCTTGCTAGCTTGCTAAATGGTTAGCATCAGTGGGGTCTAAACACCGACAGTTACGTCCATGATGTTGTTGCCTAGCAGCAGTGTTGTCATGACTCACAGTCGATGCTATCTCTCCAACGGCCGGCATTTTGTTGGGCACAAAGTGCCATCTTATTAACATGACTCAAGGAAGTAGCTACGTCCAGCCAAAAAAATAGTCCTCACCGTGAAACTACAAACTGTCATTTTTACTTTTTGGCTTTACTAAACACGTGAAATGTAAAATGTTTATAAGTCAGCTCAACTGTGTTGGTAGTTGATTTATTATTATGGGTTGTTTTTTTAAACCTTTTACTCACATTTAGTTTGTTTCTTCTACTTTAAGTTTTGATGCTATGCTAAACTGAGGCAACCAGCTGCTAGCTTTAGCTTCAGATTTACCTTAGAGACATGAGAGAGGCATCAAGTCTCCAAGTACACTTCCCGAAATAACAAACCATTTGTTTGAGATGCTTGAAGGAGTAAAAGTTGGTTTAATTCGGATCTTTTCCTTGAACATAGCAGCTACATTTTCACGACATTGAGATGGAAACTTTAAATACGAAATTGATTCGCAATTTTACTTGTTGTCACATTTGCTCCGAACAGTTTGAACGAGGAACAACAATTCAGCCGTAAATAGCTTCATGAGAGCTTTCGGCGCAGTTTCAACCAAACACAGGGCTGTGTGACAGAGGTGAGTGTGTCTCCGGGTTGAGGAGGAGAGCTCACAGATGGCACCGGGCTGGTGGGTGAGGAGGGGGAGGGAAGCATCTAAAGCTGCCATTCCCGAGTCTGACTCATTCCACTTGCTTTTGAAGTAAAGTGAATCACAGGCATAATAAATGAAGGGGAAATTCAACCTATTTGACAGCTGACGTCTCTCGCCAGCAGTGAGCTCTCCCACTCCTGCTGTAACACAGAGCCGGTAAAGGAAGAGGAGGAGGAGGAGGAGGAGGAGGAGGAAGCCAGCTGTTAAAGGGGGAAAAGTGGCTGAGGAGGGGCAGAATATGACACGGTGCAAAATATCTTCATCTTAACAATTCATTTAGTCTCATCATCAGTCTTAAAATCTTCAGGAGAGGATTTTTGATTTGGATTTTAAGCAATCCAGTGTAATAAAAATAAAAAAAAAATCTAAATTTGGTTTCAAGGAAATAAATAATTCAAGA